GGTTGGCGCAGGATAGAGCAGGGTTTAGGGCTGTTGTGCATAGGGTCGCTATGAGTCGGAAACGACTCGACGGCACATAACAACAACAACAACAACAATGTGGTATCAGGATTGGTAGAAGACTCATCAATGACCAATATTATCCAGATGACACAACCCTGCTTGTCAAACCTGAGGAGGACTTGAAATATTTGCTGCAGAAAGTCAAGGACTATAGTCTTCAACACAGATTGCTGTTCAATATTAAGAAAACAAAGATTCTCACTACTAGGCCAATTGGCAAAACCATAATAGATGGAAAAGAGATTGGGTTGTTAATTTCAACTTGCTCAGTTTTACAATCAACAGCCTTAGCACCAGCAGTCAGGGAATCAAGACAAATTACATTAGGAAAATCTGCTGTCAGGGAACTCTCTAGAGTGCTAAACAGCAATGATATTTGTCTAGAGACTAAGGTGCACCTGGTCTAGTTCATAGTCTTCTCAATTACTTGCTGTGCAGGAGGGAGCTGGGCACTAACTAAGGATGAAAGAAAAATGATCAATGCCTTTGCGTCATATGATGGGGAAGAATATTGAACATAACATGGACTGCTAAGAGAAGAAACAGGTCTGCCCTGGAAAGAGGGAAACCATGATGCCCTTTGGAGGCAAAGATTTTAAAGTTCTGTCTCACACTTTGGGCATGTTGCAAGGAGGGACCTGGTCCTTGGAGAAAGATATCATGCTTGGAACTATGGAGGGTCAGTGCAGGAGAGGAAGACTTGGATGAGATAGATTGACATCGTAACTGGGGTAATGGGGACAGATGTGTTAGAGACAGTGAGACTGGCTTAGGACATGGCAGGCTTCAGAGCTATTGTGCATAGGATCACTATGAGTCACAGGCATCTCGACGGCACATAACAACAACCTGTTGATTGTCTTTCTTTTTCTTCTCTCTACTAGAATATGTACTTTACAGACACAGGGATTTTTGTTTCTTTGCTCACTTACCAATCACATTTCCTAACAATTAGTGCATATCAACAATGAATTGAATAAACTATGAGCATGGAAGATTGAAACAGTAACCTTCTTTCATAGCCCCAAAGTGCATAGCATCATTTAATCACTACTACTACTTCCTGTGGGCAAACCAGAATTTCTGATCTCATAAAAAATTAGAAAGCTAGAAAAGGCTGTGACTTTCCCAAACCTGCAAAAAAGTTCAGAAGTGTTCTGATTTTGAAAAAGATAGTATCTTTCCAGGGACTAACCTGGACGACTTTGAGCAAGAGAGGAGGGAAACATTAAAGGCAGGTCCACAGAGAGAATGAAGAACATGCTGTACATAGCAAGGGTGAAGAAAAGCAAGAGGCAAAAGAATCTGATTGTCACGGGGTCACAAGTTCTGAATTCAATGTGTATGTCACCCACACGACAGGGATTTTGCCTCAACACTAGGCTGAGAGATGCTCCCAGTCAGTCATCCAAAAGAACAAACCTCTCAAACACAACAAGCAGGGAAACAAGTGGCATAGGCAGAGAGCTGGTCATTCAGAGAGAAGGAGTGTCAGGGAAAATGAGAAGCAGAGAGAGAGATGAAGTCAAGCTGGTGATTAAAAATATTCCTAATCTGGGTAAAGAAAAAAGTGTAACAATGAATAAATGGAAATCCAAAATATCTGTAAATGTTCATTAAAATTAATAAAATAAAATTTAAAAATAAAAAATCCTAAAAACAACAACAAAAAAAAAATATTCCTAATCTGATAAAAAAAATTTGTGCGGGGAGAAGGGTGCAACAATGAATGAATGGAATCCCAAAATCTCTGTAGATGTTCATTGAAATGAAAAGTAAACAACCTAAATTAAAAAAAATATATCCTGACTGCCTAAATACAGGCCATAGTCTTTGCAATCACTTGTTATGCATCAGAGAGTTGGACAATGACTGGGGAGGACAGAAGGCGAATTGACGTGTTTGAGCTGTGGTGCTGGAGAAGGGTATTGAATGTTCCATGGACTGCCAAGAAAACAAACAGATTCATCGTAGAGAGGATTAAACCAGGCTGCTCCTTGGAGGCAAGTATTCTGGGGCTTCGTCTGACATACTTTGGACATGTTGTAAGGAGAGACAGGTCCTTGGAGAGGGACATCATGCTTGGTAGGGTAGAGGGACAGCGCAGGAGGGGAAGACCCTCTATGAGGTGGATTGATTCAGTGACTGGGGTAATCGGGATGGGTGTCTCAGAGGCAATGCGGTTGGCACAGGATAGAGCAGGGTTTAGGGCTGTTGTACATAGGGTCGCTATGAGTCGCAAACGACTCGACGGCACATAACAACAACAACAACCACTGCCTAATGGAAGAGTCCTCTCTTAGCAAGGAACATCCTGGAGAACAAAATAAAAAGCTCTTCTGATCCAGAAGCATGAACCTGGTCCTAGCCAGGGTCAGTCCCTTCTTCCATCTGTGCCTTGTTTTTATCCAGCAGAGCACTACTAGGGCCTTTCAGCCAAAAACCAACTGACTCAAAAGCTCCTCTTCCAAACACATTTGATAAACACTCTAAAGAGCTATCCTCCTTGCCAGTAAGTCCATAAGAAGAAACATCCAGGCCATCCAAGGAAGGTGGTTTTCATCACCACAAAGGCAACTCACAGTTGTGTGTAGGGTGGGCAACCTCCCTAGATCACCACAGACAAAACAGAGCTCTTACTGAATTAGTCCTGTGAGTTGCTCATTCTTCTCCTTTCTCCCAAACAAAATACTTCTCATCCAAGAGTTTGGATCTACACATGCAAAGATATGCCTTGGCCTGAATGTCTCTCACAGAAACTAGGCCAAATCTAAATGAAGCTGGACTTAGGCCTAAATACTGGTGCACAGAGAGCACAGCCCACTCCAGAGCCCAGCTCTCCTCCAACTCTACACATTGGAAGCTGGGCAAAGTGAGGCAAGGAGCTCTCCTGGGGTTCAGTACTCACTGCGATGAGAGAGGGGACTGCTGAGGACAGCATCTGGCCACAGGCTTCCCGGGACTCCACCCATGCTACAGTGCATGAAACCATCCTCGCAATAGCTGCAAAGAAGAAAATCTCAGTCAACGACACAAGAGTTGTCTACACCTGTGACCTCTAGTTCCTCACCCGCTCTTCATTTGAGGTCATCTCTAATCAGACTCCCAGTCCTATAATGCCACTGAATATGGCTTACCAAGGTTAATAATAACCTTCATGTCACTAAAAACATTGGAGTCTTCATTTCTCTTCCCTCTTGACAACCTTCACTCCATTTTTCTACAGGAAGGGGAAAAACCCCAACCTCTTCTGGTGTTCCTCCTACTTCCTGGTTGTTCTTTCATAATTTCAACTGTATCTGACCACCGCCCCTGAATCCAGGTCTGGTCTTTAAATGTCAACAATCCCTAGGTGCATCCTAGGCTGTCTCTCTTCATTTTATACCACATTATCATCCACACTCCCAACTTGCGTTATAGAAATGGCTCACAAATTCACATCAGGGCTCAGATTTCTCCTTTGAACCCTAGACCTACATAGTCAAAGGTCTGCATAATAGTCATTTTTGGTGTCTCAAAGGCATCTCAAACTCATTATTATATCAAAAACATGATCTCCCCCACAAAGTTATTCTTCTTCTAAGACTTTACTTTGCTGACTAATTCACCCATCTAGTTTTACAAACCATGCACTCAGGGATCATCCCTGACATTGCCTCTCTCTTGTTCTCTATATGTGATATATCACCAAGTTCTGAACTTTGTCTTCTCTAAATGTCTCTGAAATTAATATCCACATCTCTCTAGCTATAAAGGCCATGAACAACATGCAACAGGTCCTGGCAAAGTAAAACTTTAGACGAGAACCAGTGTAGCTTACTGAGCAGAGACTTCAAACAGAAAACAAAACCAATCACCAAATATCTAACTTCATAGTAATGTAAATTAGAATCCATTGGCTAGTACAAAACCAACCCCAAATGTTTTTAAAAAAAAAGTGGATTGAGGGGATCTCTGGTGACCTAATGAGTAGAGAGGTTATACTCCCAACCCAAAGGTGGTTGGTTTGAATCCACCAGTGGCTCCACTGGAGAAATCTCTATATATTCATCATATGTTGTTGTTATTAGTACTATCCAATCAAAAGTGAGTCATAGTGACCCTATGAACAACAGATTTGAACCCTGTTCTATCCTGTACCACCAAGCCTGCTGCTGTAGTAACTGTGTCAATCCACCTGGTTGAAGTCTTCCTCTCATTCACCATCATTCTGCCTTTCCAAGCATGATGTCCTTCTCCAAGGGATAGCATCTCCTAGCAACATGCTCAATATATGTGAGATGAAGCTTCACTATCCTTGCCTGCAACAAGTACTCTGGCTGCACATTCTCCAAGGCATCTTGTTTGTTTCACCTGTCTTTTCCTAGCTTTGCTGCACATACCTTTGCACAAAAACACACATCCTGCATTGCTTGTTGAAGACCTCTGGCCAAGAGATACTTGGTGCTTTACTGTCCATCCCAACAATCTTGGTATTAGTCTCTTACTATAAGTTCCCTACTAAAACTAGAATTGATCAATTTCCCCTCCCTCTTTTTTTAGAATCCAATCTGAGGCCCTTGGCACCACTCCTGTTACTGGCTTCTATATTGTACACCACTATCTTCACTGCCAAAAACACCAGCATTAGTACCCCGGGCAAGGAAAGAGCCTCCTAGCAGATCTCCCTATTCCCATTCTTGCAGGCCAATTATCTTTATAAAACTCAGATGTAATTATATTTACATTTACATCCCTGTTTTAAATCCTCCAGTTGCTTCCCTTCAATAGACCTTAAGATAAAGAGCAAGTCCCTAATATGGCCTACTAGGCTGCTATATTGGAAGTAGGAGTGGCATCCACTTCCTAAACAACATGCCTCTGGAAACTATGAACTTTGAGAAATGATAGTTATAGAAAGGTTTCAGGTCTTCTGTTCATAGGGTTGCTATGAGTCATGCTCAACTCGACAGCAATCAACAACAACAACAGGCTGCTATATGATCTATCCCCTGCCTGCTCTTTTCTTATTAAAACTCATTGGCTTTTTTCTGATCTTGAAAGTACCATGTTTTCATCAAACAAAAGGGATTCTGCACAATGTCCAACACACTGGTGGAACAGAAAAAGTAGAACTGAAGAAATGGAACAGAGACTCAGTGAGCTGGAAGACAAGAGTCCCACTGAAAACATACTAGAAAGAAAAGCAGAGATGACATAAAGAAAATGAAGAAAACATTAGAATCATGTTGGATGACATCAAAAGGAACAACATGAGTGGAATTCTAGAACATGAGAGTGACAGGGAAGTCATGGAGAAAATTGTGGAAGAAGTAATAGACAAAAATTTCCCTAGTATTTTGAAAAATGATAAAATCTACACTCAAGAAGCACAGCAAACATCAAATAGATTATACCCAAAAAGGAAAACATCAAGACATAACATAAACAAATTCTGCAAATTAAAAGATAAGGATAGAATACTAAAAGCAGCATGAAAAAAAGCAAAGAGTCACTTACAAAGAGGAAACAATTAGATTAAATTCTGATTTCTCAGCAGAAACCATGTGAGCCAGAAGACAATGGGATGGCATATACAAAAGTTGAAAGAAAACAATTGCCAGCCAAGGATCCTATACCCAGCAAAGTGCTCCATCAAATATGAAGGAAAAATTAAATTCTTTGCAGAAAAGAAGGAACTTAAGGAATTTTTGAAAACAAGACCAAAAATACAAGAAATTTTAAGTTAATTCCTTCGCAAGGAGATGTCAAAGGAAAGTAGATGGACCATAGTGACCAAAAACAACAGAAAAAGAAACAGAAAAATGGCAAAAGTCAAACCTGGCCTGACAATAATCACAGTTATTGTGAATGGATTAAATACACAAATCAAGAGAAAAAGAGTAAGTAGCAAATGGCTAATAAAACAAAGCCCATTGATATGTTGCCTACAAGTGTCACATCTAAAAAAAAAATTTAGAGAAAGACTCAAAATCAAAGGCTAGGAAAAAAAATATACTGTTGTGGGATGTTGAAGAGGAAGGAAGGGTCTCTGGCCAGGACAGATCACCTAAGCACCAGATAAGTGCAAGCCTCCTAACAGCCTTTAATATAGAGTAAAGAAAGCTCCCCTGTGTTTAGCTGTACCAGCCTGAGAAAGCTCACCACCTGGAAAGTTGGCTGTTCCATCTGTTGAGCTGGGAGTGGTCCGCATGAGGCTGAGGTTCTCCTAATCAATCTGCATTTCCCACGTCTGTAAGCCACCCTATCCTTTCTTCCTGTTTATAGAAGTGTGCTGCATTCCCAATAAAATTGAGCTGGACTGACTCTCTGATCCTCTTCCGGAGTGGTGTATCTCCATCATGCTTACCCCCTTCAGGGCATCACTGTTAAGTTGCCAGAGAACTGACAGCAACAGTATACCAAGCAAACGGCAACTACAAAAAAGCAGGAGTGGAAATAGTAATCTCTGAAAAAATAGATTTCAGAGAGAAAATCAACATAAAAAGAAGGGCATTGCATAGTGATTAAAGGCACAATAGATCAAAAAGACATAACCTTGGCCAACAGGTATAAAAAAAAAAAGACCTCCAAAATACATAAAACAATAGTTAACAGAATTGAAGAAAGAAATAGACAGTACCACAATAGTGGTAGGAGATTTTAACACACCACTATCACCAAAGGATAGGTTAACTCAAAAAAAACTTAACAAAGATGCAGAAGAGCTAGACTATACAACCAGCCTTATAGATGTATTCTGAGCACTGCACTCAACTAAAACTCAATTCGCTTTCTTTCATTCCTACTACTACCACTTTTCAAGTTTTGTGGGCCATATACTTCTCCTAGAACTTAATACACTTAAAATTTTACATGTTGTTGTTGTTGTGACTTATAGCAACCTTATATACAACAGCCCTATACTCTGTTCTATCCCTTGCCAATCTTATTGTCTCCAACACACATATCTCCATTACCCCAGTGACTGAATCAACCCATCTCATCAAGGGTCTTCCTCTCCTGTGCTGTACCTCCACCCTCTCAAACATGATGTCCCTCTCCAAAGACTGATCCCACCTTGCAACATGTCCAAAGTATGTCAGACAAAGCTTCAGAATCCTTGCCTCCAAGGAGCAACCTGGCTTTACCCTCTCCAGGAAAAACTTGTTTATTCTCCTAGCAGTCTGTGGTATATTCACTACTCTTCTCCAGCACCACAGCTCAAAGGCTTCAACTCTCCTTCTGTCATCCCTAGTCATTGCCCAGCT